GGGTTGCGTGGTGATGATTCAGTTCATTGAATGTTCTCTCTAGAACATTCGGGAAGTCGCTTGATGTTTTCTTTTTTAATTTTACAAATACTTTTTCGTTTAAAATAAACCTCTTACCTAGTGATTAAAGAAAAAATAAACAAACACGAAATTACTTTTATAATTTCAATATTAACTCGGGGATATGTGAATAAAATTGCTGGAAGTTTGTAAAATTATAACATTTTTTCAATTTTTCTGTTTCTCCTATTTATTTTTTTGTGTTTAAGGATCTGCTTAACTTATGTAAATAATTCAACAGAAAATACATTACAATTTGTTCTTAAAACTTCTGCATATATTAATTTGTCCTCAATTTTTATAAAATTACATCACAAAATGAATTAAAAAAGTTTTAGGAATATAAAATTTGTTCCATATACATTTTACAACTGCAAAATGCGTTTTAAGTTAAAGAAATTGGGATTTGGAATTACATTTTTACCAGAAAAAAATTACTAATTGAGCTACTTCTTTAAATTTAAATTTATTTATGAATACACAAGAGCAATAACACGTTCTATTACAAAGAAATATCTAATTCCTATAATACTGTAATTAGTTTATACAGTATGTTCCGGGATTGAGTTCACAGGAGCAAAAAAACTGTATTTTCTATTTTACAAAAAAATGACAAAGGAATAATATTTTTTGCTTCATTCAAAATAAATAAATCTACAATTAGAACTTTAATATTATCAGGCTGTGTTCTTAAAATCGAAAAAACCCAAAAGTAGCGTAGGACATTTTTATTTTTAATTTTCCAAAGAAATGTCAGTGAAATAAAAATTGTTCCTTAATTCAAACCAATTTCTACTATTCGATTAACCCACCACCCCTTTCAGCACATAGTTCAATTCTAACCCGTAATTCTTTCCTCTTGCGAAAATTTTAATAATATTCACAGTTTGGTAATGTATCATAATAGGTGCATAAGATAAGACCAACTTTGGCGAATGATGTACACTGTAAGAAAATAGAGGGTGGGTGGGCGGGGCTAGTATTTGCTAAGATAAGACTGAACAATATTAAAAGTAGTTACTAGAATGAAAAAGGGGTGGCAGCCGGGCAACTGCTTGCTTATAAGACACTGTGGAAAAAAAGGTAAGCTGAGCTCCACCCACCCAACAAACCCTATTCCGCTTTGATCTCTCATTTTATTGCTTTTGACATGGAGTTTGGAATGATAATGCTTGCTTATAAAAGACTATGTAGGAAAAATCAATGTTAGCCCCTCCCACCCACCCATTTTCTATTTTTTTTTCTTCTTTTTTTAACATCCTAGGTCGTATTAATTCCCATTCCCAATCTACAGAATTATTAATATATATATTTAACCTCGCCCGTCCTCCCCTCCTTCTTTTCAGTAATTGATTATCTGGTTGAATGAAAGGTGGATCTTATACTAAATAGAAATAAAATCGTTAGAATGAGAATAGCGCGGGTGGGTGGAGCTAGTACCTGCTACGACAAGAGTGATTTTGGCAGATGACATATCGTCTGATAAAATAATGGGCGGGTGGGCGGGGCTAATACTTGCTAAGATAAGAGTGATTTTGGCAGATGACATACCATCTGGAAAAACAATGGGCGGGTGGGCGGAGCTAGTATTTGCTAAGATAAGACTGAACAATATTATGAGTAGTCACTAGAATGAAGAAAGTGAGGGAGCTGAGCAACTGCTTCCTTATAAGACGCTTTGAAAAAAAAGTAAACTGAGCTCCACCCACCCACCCCTATTCCGCTTTGATCCTTCATTTTATTGGTTCTGAAACCGAGTTTGGAATATTAGTGCTTGCTTATTAAAGATTCTGTAGGAAAAATTAATATAAGCCCTGCCCACCCACCCAGTTTTTATTTTTATCTTCTGAAATAAGAAATAAATCTGATAGCAAATAATAAATGTAATAAAAATTACGATTAACGCTTTTTTTTCTTTTTTCAACATCCTAAGTTCTATTAATTCCCATTCCAACTCTACAGAATTGATAGTATAATATATTTAACCCCGTCCACCCACCCCTTCTTCTTTCCAGTAGTTCATTATCTGGTTGAATGAAAGTTGGATCTTATATTGAATAGAAATAAAATCGTTACCTGCCACGATAAGAGTGATTTTGGCAAATGACATACTTTATGAGAAAATAATGGGCGGGTGGGCGGGGCTAGTTCTTGCTAAGATAGGACTTTTTGGCAAATGATATATACAGGGTTAGTCACGAGAGAATTACTTCTGAAAATTATTTTTACGCAACCCAAAATACGAATACCATGTACCATTTGATACTAACTGAATTTAAAATGAAATGCTTAATCCATGATTGCTTTGAATTTCTCATTTTGACAATTGTGGAAAAGGAGGTTACGCGAGTGTCCATGGTGGTACCGCAGCCAGTCGGAAATCTCCTCCGGCGCCGCTAATAAATTTGTCAGTGTCAGCCTCTTGGTCTTTTGCAACCGATTAATCACGAGAAAATTATTTCTAAAAATTCCTTTTACGGCTTTTATTCAAAGGTTACAAGACAAACTCAAACAAGTAAGTAAATAATTTAACTACTAATCTGTTGAAAATGTTGGGCATTTTGGGGGGATGCTACGGCTTTTTTGTAAATGGATGGCCGAAGAAGTCCGGAGGTTGTAGATTTGCACTTCGAAGAGGCTCTAGGTGACGCAGAGATGGCGAATTAACACAGGCACATTAGCGGCGAACAACATTGGTAGAGCACTTACGGCTTCAGTATAGCCCAGATTGATCTGACTGTATGTCGTCGATCCAAGGGGGCTCTAGAAGCGAGTCAACGATGAAACAAAATGTTAAAAATTAATTAACGTCAAAGTGACACTGCCAAAGTCAAAGCAATCATGGATTAGGCATTTCATTTTAAATTTAGATAATATCAAGTGGTACAGGGTATTAGTATTTTGGGTTGCGTAACAATAATTTTCAGAAGTAATTCTCTCGTGACTAACCCTGTATACCCCGTAAGAAACTAGAGAGCGGATGGGCAGGGCTATATATCAGTAAGGTGGAGTCCACGTTGTCTTTGGATGGGGTGCTTACCATCAGGGCACCCAGGATTGATAGTGGGAAAGAAGAGGGACGGAGTCGTGCAGACGGGGCAGCCTTCCATGGCCGTGGAGCAGAAGACCGAAAAGAAAGAAGAGAAATAGTTTAACTTAAAATATATGAATTACTGATGACTGATTGTGATATTGTTAATGTGTTTTGTGTTTTCTGTTCAAAATAAATAAAACCACGCCAAAATAAAAGTCGCGTTTATTATTTGCATTAAGACATTGTTATTAAATTTCTATTCAGCGAATTAAATTTACTAAAATCTTACAAAACTCAAAATTCAGTTCTCTTCCTCGACATTTTTCGACTGCTTTCCTCCCTTTGTTCGTTTCTTTTCCACATCGATCCTTGGAGCAATGATCGACAAAACCCAAAATTCGGGAAATTTCTAGAAGTTTCTATAAGGTTCTAGAGGGTGATGAAGGAATTTTGTGGTTTAAATACGGTGTAAGTTTGTTTTGGGGGTGGTTGGGAGTTTAGTGCATTGTTTCAGTCGCGTTCCTTTTTAAAATACGATTTGATTGGATCTTTTCCATTGTTGTGAAATACATACAATATCTTACCGTACAGTTGTGTTTTATTGGTTGCATACCTTAGGAAGGATTTTTTCATAAAAGAAAAATAACTAGAAAAACTGGAAAGATACACATTGTGTTCACAAAATAGTCCGCTTTTGGCTTCTTTTAATTATACTTTGATACTTTTCACGTACTTTTTCTTTAATAAAATCAAAAGAAGTTCTGGTATAGTGAAAAAATTTATTAAATTAATAAATACAAACGGAAAATTCTAACGTAACTAAAACTACACATACATTACAAAACTCAGTCTTTAATTACCACAAATACTAAAAAAAAAATAATTAATACAAAATAACTGCGCAAAAATTACTTCTTTTCTTCATCTTCCTTCTTCTCCACCGCCTTGGTCGGCTGCCCCGTCTGGATAACCGGGACGCTCCTTCCCTCCTCCACAGCAGCCTTAACCCTGGGCGCCATTATCGTGAGCACCCCGTCCGACGACAACTTCGACTCGATTTTATCCACGTCGTGGTCTTCGGGCAAAACGTACTTCCTCACGAAATGCCGCGAAATAAACCCGTGCTCGTCTTCCTTCTCCTCGTGTTTTCCCTCCACCGTGACGACGTTTTTGGTCACCTTCACGCTGATTTCCTCCGGCTTGAACTGCTGCACGTCCAGATTCACCTGGAATTTGTCCTTGTCGCGGCAGACGGTCGATCCGGAATCCTTTTGGGAAGCGGCAGAACGCCAAGGTCTCAGATATCCTGCAGGACAACGCATCAGGTGGCGAAGTTCGCGAGGAGTCAGCGCCAGCGGCGCGAAGAAATCCTCCTGGTCCAGACCCAAGCCGGAATGTTGATCCAGCATTCTGGTCGGGCGGGAGTGTTCGAAGGGGTCGTTCAACAGAATTATGGACATTTTCGCTGGTTTAGCACTGATTTGTACGTTGTGGTTTTTTTGAAGTTGGCACCTTGTACTGTATCGACCAATTGAATCGCAGGACTGAAGTCGGGTTTGATCGGCGGCTGGTTTTATAGGAAGACGCGTTTCGAGAATGTTCGGAAATTGACGCGAAGGATGAATCTAGAATTTGGAGAAGGTCAGGAATCAGTGTTGCCAACTGCAGGGAATTTTCCCTTTTAAGGGAATTTTAGGATAAGAAAGGGAAAAAGGGAATTTTTTAACAAAAGTTGGCAATTTTAGGGAATTTTTAGAAGCATTCTTAAGTAGGCTGACAACGCAGCAAAGAAAATGTGAAAATTGATAAATCATAATTTTTTCAGCTTAGAAAAGAGCAACATAGTTTGGTAGGTCTTGGTTGTGTGTTGAGTCATGAGTAGACAAAATGTACTAAATGTAAAACGTAGGTCAACTTGTCATTGGTCAAGAGTAGGTAGATGGTGGGTAGCTTAAATTGTGGGCACTTTGAGGATGTTGAGATGAGATCAGAGAACTGGAGCAGGGATGAGATGTTAAAAATTAAAATGGCGACAAATCGACATAAAGCAAGTGTTCTGTGGTGTGGTAATTTACAAAAAATCTGTAACTTCAATCGAGATGGACAATGAGAAGATAAAAAAAAGAAAAATCCAAGCAGACAAAACATTTAAAAGTTATTGGCTAGATGATCCACTTTTTAAACCATGGCTATTACCAGATACTCAGTCAAAGTATATGGCAAGGTATAAAGTTAGATTATGTATGTAGATACATACTCTTTTAATACTTTTTCAGATGTAAAATTTGCAATGTAACCATCAAATCAGGGAAAAGTGAGTTACAAAAACATGCAGGTACGAAAAAACACTTGGAAAAACTGAAGCTAATTAATCACAATAAAAATGTTGATATATTGTTTAAAATCAACGAAGATACGGTGCATAAGGATAACGTCAAAAAAGCTGAAATTAAACTAGCAGCAGTATTTGCAGCTAACAATATTGCATTTCGAGTTATTGATCAATTAGAACCTGTTTTAAAGGAAATATTTCCGGACAGTAAGATATGCCAAGACATCAACATAAAGAGAACCAAATGCACTGAAATTGTGAAAAATGTTTTGTGCAAAAAGGAGACAAATGACTTAGTGACACATCTGAGAAACAATACATTTTCTGTGCTCTTGGATGAATCAACTGATATTGGTGATTATAAAAGCGTAGCTGTGTTGGCAAGATTCTTAAACCATGATAATAAGATCGAAACTCGTTTACTGGAATTAATACAACTAGATGCAAGAGATTTAGGTGCTACAGCTTTATATAACACATTTAAAGCATGTTTAGAAAGACACAAAATACCCTTGCAAAACATAATAGGTTTGTTAAGATAACATCAGTTTATAAAATAGCTATTATTTATAATTCCAGGTGTTGCTTCGGATGGCGCTAGTGTCATGATTGGAAAAAATCATTCATTTTTTCAACTGCTGCAAAATGATGTACCACATGTAATATTGCTACGTTGTATATGCCATTCTGCCTCACTAGTTGCATCTAATGCATGCACTGTCTTACCTCGAAGTTCTGAAGAACTTTTGAGGGGTATTTACACCTACGTTTCTGGAAGTTCTAAAAGATCTGCACAACTACAAGAAATGCAAGAATATTTTCAGGAAAGGAAGCATAAAATACTTAAACTGTCAGCAACCAGATGGTTAAGTCATTTTGAGTGCGTAGTTAGGATTTTGGAGAACTGGAATGTATTGGAACATTACTTTGCAATTGCGGTGCTAGAAGACAAATTAAAAAGCGCCGAGTTGATTCTAAGTGAATTGAAGAATATATACACAAAAGGATACCTATTTTTTTTAATATATGTCCTAAATTTGTTTAATAGCTTTAATGCTCTTTTCCAAGGCAGAAAGCCTCTAATCCATGTCTTGTACTCAGAGTGTACAAACTTGATGAAACAGTTATGTAAAAATTATCTGGATGGAGCGATAGTGCTCGAACAAAATCTACTTACACTAAACTTGAACAACCCGCGTCATTTTTCGCCTTTAGAAAAACTATATGTCGGCCCAGAGTGTTCTGCACTTGTAAAGACAATGCCCCCTGATGGAAGAGATTTATTTTTAAAAAATTGCCTTAAATTTTACGTAACTGCAGCTGTTGATTTACAGAGACGTTTACCTGAAGAAATATTTAGGGATATGAGGTTTCTGAATCCCAATGTTGCATTTGCTAAAAGTGATGATGAGAGAAATATAGATTTCAATATATTATGTGATAAACTAAAACATATTAACGCAGATAAGACTGAAATCGCGATTGAATGGCGGAACTTGCCAATTTCTTTTAGTGAGACTGAAATTAAAAAATTTACATCCTTGCAATTGCATGAAATGTGGTTAAATATTTGCTCAACAAAAAAATTTAGTGAAGATTTAGCTTTTCCAAATTTAGGAAAGTTAGTCAAGTCAATATTAATTCTCCCTCACTCTAACGCAGAAACAGAGAGAATTTTCAGCATTGTCACTGATACAAAGACCAAAAAAAGAAACAGGATTGGGGAGAGTTCTTTAAACGCTGTTGCTGTTTTTAGGAGCTTTTTACAAGCAACAGAACTAGATGTTGTCAAGTATCCAATAACACAAGACCATCTGCAGTTACATAATGTTGCAATGTATTCATTTAAACACTCATAAAGAGGCTAGATTTTTGTCTTTTATTTGTATTGTAATTATACAACTATATTTTTGTTACTTTGTGTTGTCAATTTTGAAATTATAGTGTTTGTTTATTATATTATTATTATTAAAAGAAGTTAAAAAGAAAGGAGCGTTGTTTTTGGGGAGGAAATTAGTAGATTAAGTGTTTTCTTGATCCGTGAGAAATTTTATCAATTTGTAATGGTAGTAGATTAGATACCTAGTTATATGCAAAAGAGAATTTTGAGGCTGAAAAGGGAATTTTTATCGTCCATGTAGGGAATTCGACATTACAAAGGTTGGCAACACTGTCAGGAATGTTTGGGTTGCGTGACGATGAACCAGTTCATAGAATGTTCTCTCTAGAACATTCGGGAAGTCGCTCTCTACTTGATGTTTTCTTTTTTAATTCTACAAATAGTTTCGTTTAAAATAAAGCTCTTAACTAGTGATTAAAGAAAAAATAAACAAACACGAACTTTTTTTTATAATTTCAATATTAACCCGGGGATAGGTGAATAAAATTGCTGGAAGTTTGTAAAATTATAACAAAATTTTTCAGTTTTTCTGTTTCTCCTATTTATTTTTTTGTGTTTAAGGATTTGCTTAACTTATGTAAATAATTCAATAGGAAATACATTACAATTTGTTCTTAAAACTTCTGCATAAATTAATGTGTCCTGAATTTTTATAAAATTACATTACAAAATGAATAAAAAAAGTTTCAGGAATCTAAAAGTTGTTCCATATACATTTTACAACTGCAAAATGTGATTTAAATTAAAGAAATTGGGATTTGGAATTAAATTTTTACCAGAAAAGAATGACTATCGAACTACTTTTTTAAATTTAAATTTATTTATGAATATACAAGAGCAATCACACGTTGTACTACAAAGAAATATCTAATACCTATAATACTGTAATTATTTCATACAGTATGTTCCCGGATTGCGTTCACAAGAGGAAAAAAAACTTTATTTTCTATTTTACAAAAATTGACAAAGGAAAAATAGCTTTTGCTTAAATCAACATAAATAAACCAACAATTGTGTTCTTAAAATCGAAAAAACAAAAGTATAAGAAAGGACTTTTCTATTTTTAATTTAAAAAAAAATGTGCAAGGAATAAAAATTGTTCCTTAATTCAAACCAATTTCGATTATTCGATTAATTCACCACCTCTTTCAGCACATAGTTCAATTCTAACTGCTAATTCTTTAATTTAGTTCTTTCCCCTTGTGATCTCAATCCGGGGACATTACTGTAGATCTAAAAGCATGTATGGAAAAATGAAATATAGATGTTTAACTTATACCTCGTCTGAACAGATTTTCTCTTTGATAGTTTTTATATTTTTGTTAATCTATCTGTGGATTATCGTTAATTTGTTTTAGAACTTCCGGTGCTAAATTCCGACAGAATCTAACACACACGAAAGGTTCGTCATCGTTGAAATTGTGTTTGTATTCCAAATGAAGTGGTTTTTCTCTTTGGTACTTTAAACATTTTACTTTGGTAGAAGGGATGGTTTTTAACTTTATTTTTTCTGTTATAGCTGAAAATTTTGAGAATATTCACAGGTTGATAATGGTGAATTTTTGTACCATAATAGGTGAATAAGATAAGACTAACTTTGGCGAATGATGTACACTGTTAGAAAATAGAGGGTGGGTGGGCGGGGCTAGTATTTGTAAGACAAGATTGAACAACATTAAAAGTAGTTACTAGAATGAAGAAGGGGTGGCAGCCGAGTAAGTTCTTGCTTATAGGAAACTGTGGAAAAAAGGTAAACTGAGCTCCACACCTATTCTGCTTTGATCACCCATTTTAGTGACTCTGAGACGAAGTTTGGAATGATAGTGCTTGCTTATAAAAGATTCTGTAGGAAAAATTAGGTACCGCGTCAATTCGTCGTGCACAATTCGTCGCGCGACAATTGATCGCAAACAACTGATCGCAGCGTCAATTGGTCGCAGCGACAACTGGTCGCAACGACAACTGGTCGCAGTCGCAATTGATCGCAACACAATTCGTCGCAAGTACAACTGGTCGCATGCGACAATTGATCGCAGGCGAAAAATAATAGCGTTTATAGAGAAATAAGTAATTGTTATGAATGAGGAAAATAAATTAATGTGCTATATTTTCAAAAATTTCATTATTTCTAAAAAAAGTGCCAAAATAAATACATACGAGTTCCATAAAAACGGTAACTATTAGGCTCATTTCCGACTAAACCAAAGTGCAAAAAAGTGAAAATATTGTAAAATATTTTTTTTAATGCTGACACATCTCGTCGGTATGCTACTGTAATGTTCATTTGGATTATTCGTCTTATTGATTAGACGCTCAAGTAAGTGATTCAAGCTTTTCTTCTCACAAGTTTAAAGTTTGTCAATTAAACGAGTGAAAAAAATAGCTTTCAAAACGTGTTGGACGTCATTTTTCTTTAATAAAAAATGGTTTTAAAATTATTACAACTGTCAAATTAAAAAGTTATAGATAAATCGTGAAAAAACTCTCGTTACAGTTTTAAGTGAAAAAGTATTATTTTCATTACGTTTGTTAGTTTAAAAAATTAAATATATACCTATATTTTTTAATAAATTTGCTGCGTAAAAGGAATTTTTAGAAATAATTTTCTCGTCATTAATCGGTTGCAAAAGATCAAGAAGCACTCGAAGCAAGCCCTGACAAACTTATTAGCGGCGCCAGCGGAGATCTCCAATTGGCTGCGGTACCACCATGGACACTCGCGTAACCTCCTTTTCCAGAATTGTCAAAATGACATTGCCAAACTCAAAGCAATCATGAATTAAGCATTTCATTTTAAATTCTGTTAGTATCAAGTGGTACATGGTATTCGTATTTTGGGTTGCGTAAAAATAATTTTCAGAAATAATTTTCTCGTGATTAACCCTGTATATGTATTTTTTACACCCACATATGGTACAACTGAATTTTTCTTCAGTACAATACTAGTCACATAATAATTGAAAAATAAGTTTTTAGTTGCATAAGTACCTACATTTCTTAGATTTCCCGGTAACACAAAATTATTCTTGACGCTCTAACAAAAGTTTTTGCAATATATATTTACAATACACGTAAACCTTTCTCAAACCCTGTAAAAGATCCGTTGCAATTTACAAGGTATTAAAATAAGTATTATATATCCGTCCAGTGGAATTTATATTCGCTGCATATGGATACTCTAGATGTACTATTATTATTCTGTATCAAAATGTGTTAAAATTTAAAGGTTGTTGAAAATATGATTTTTTAAATAACTGTAATCTAGTTAAGAACAATAAACACTTGTTTTTATGTTGAGTACTTATTATAATGAAGCTAGTTCCTATAATATAATAGGTAAAATAAGAAACGAGATAAATAGAAACAATCTCTTAAAAAAAAATAACCAAAATGACAATGTATTAATAAAAAATCTTATGTAACAAGGTGTTTACGCTCGTATTTTTTAATTTTTAAAGTGCAACTACAAACTTCGTCACTTATCTATATTCAAATTGTTTTTAATTCGATATTTACACCTTACCTGGTTGCTAAATTTATTGCAACTTAAAATTCAGAATACAAAATATTTAGTTTTAATAAAAGAAAATACTTCCCGAGGAATTTTACCTTGCGATCAATTGACGCTGCGATAAATTTACGTACGATCTATTGTCGCTGCGATCAATTTACGTGCAATCAATTGTCGCTGCGATCAATTGTCGCCGCGATCAATTGTCGCGTGCGACCAATTGTGCTGCGACGAGTTGCTTGCGATCAATTGTCGCGCGATCAATTGTTTGCGACCAGTTGTCGTAGAATCGAAAAATTAATATTAACCCCGCCCACCCACCCATTTTCAATTTTTTTCTTCTGAAATAAGAAATAAATCTGATAGAAAATAATAAATGTAATAAAAAATTACGATTAATGCTTTTTCTTTTCTATTTTTAACATCCTAAGTTCTATTAATTCCCATTCCAAATCTACAGAATTATTAATATAATATATTTAACCCCGCCCACCCACCCCTCCTTCTTTCCAGTAATTCATTATCTGGTTGAATGAAAGTTGGATCTTATATTGAATAGAAATAAAATCGTTACCTGCCACTATAAGAGTGATTTTGGCAGATGGAATACCTTCTGAGAAAATAATGGGTGGGTGGGCGGGGCTAGTTCTTGCTAAGATAAGACTTTTTAGCAAATGATATATATACCCCGGAAGAAACATTGAACATTATTAGGAGTAGTCACAAGAATTAAAAGGTCTGGGCTACATCGCCCAACTTCTTTCTCCATTTCACTGTCTTATTTTATTTACTGCAGTATGGGAATTGAATTCTGTTTTGACAAGCGGTTGAGTATAAGATTTAAAAAAAATCAGGTTAGGTCAAACCAGCCTAGGCCACGCTACATAAAGTTTTTTCAAAATTTTAGATTCAAGGTTGTCAAACAAGATTTAATTTTTATCTATATAACCCGCTACCCACTGTAAGATAAAAATTATAAAACTCACAAATTTTTATTAAAATTATATTTATTCTTAATATTTTTGTGTTAAAATTTAAGAAATAAGTTGAAAATGTACATGGAACAAAAAAAATCTTAAAATCCATGAAAATGTTATATGGAACAAATTAGCATTGAGCTGATTTATTTTCGTTTTGATTAATACATAATTTAAAGAAAACCAATTTGTTTACTAATAAGGAAATAATTTACTAACACTGAAATAGTGCGCTATATGCATTTTACAATGATTTTAATTTATAATTTTTTAAAATGAAAATAATTATGTCATCACATTTTACATCGACTAAACGCAAAACCTTCCAGTCGAATCTCGAGCGTTCGATCCCTCTAGAACGTTCCACCACCTCCACATAAAAACTCGAGCGCCGTGACGCTCCCGTCAGACTTGAACAGACTCAAGCGCAGGCAACAAACCAAAGGACCTCAAGCGAGCTCTCATTCGAAAAATCTCAACAAAAATGGCTTTGTGGATGTGGAACAACCCTTTCCAGTTCTCCCGGCCGTCTCGCCTCCTCGACCAACACTTCGGCGCCGTTCTCGAACCGGAAGATTTACTGTCGCCTCTGACCCCTCGAGAGTTCGGCGGTTTGCTACGTTTTCCTTCTGAATATCTGCGTCCGTGGAGGTCTGCACTTTCCCAACAGGACGTCGGCTCCACCGTGCGCTTCGACAAGGACAAATTCGAGGCGAATTTGGACGTGCAGCAGTTCAAGCCGGAGGAGATCACGGTGAAGGTGAGTGACGACACGGTCACTATCGAGGGAAAACATGAGGAGAAGCAGGACGAGCATGGGTATATTTCGAGGCATTTCGTGAGGAGGTATGTGGTGCCGAAGGGGCATCATATCAGGAAAGTGGAGTCCACGTTGTCTTCGGATGGGGTGCTCACCATCAGGGCACCCAAGATTGATAGTGGGAAAGAGGAGGAACGGAGTATTCCGGTTGTCCAGACGGGGCAGCCTTCCAAGGCCGTGGAGCAGAAGACCGAGAAGAAAAAAGAGAAATAATTGAACTTAAAATGTATTAATTTCTGATGACTGATTGTGATATTGTAATTGTGTTTTGTGTTTTCTGTTCAAAATAAATAAAACTAGACCAAAATAAAGTCGTTTTTATTATTTGCATTAAGGCATTGTTGTTAGAGTTGTATTCAGGGAATTAAATTTATTAAAATCTTACAAAACTCAAAATACAGTTCTCTTCCTTTTCTTCTTTTTTGACATTCTTCGACGGTTTTCCTCCCTTTCTTAGTCCTTTTCCACATCGATCCTTGGAGCAATGATCGACAAAACTCAAAATTCGGGAAATTTCCAGAAGGTTCTATACGGTTCTAGAGGGTGATAAAGGAATTTTGTGGTTTAAATATGGTCTAAGTTGTTTTGGCGGTGGTTGGGGGTTTAGTGTGTTGTTTCAGTCGCGTTCCTTTTTAAAATACGAAATGATTCGATCTTTTCCAGTGTTGTGAAATACAATATTTTACCGTACAGTTGTGTTTTATTGGTTGCATATCTTAGGAAGGATTTTTTCATAAAAGAAAAATGACCAGAAAAACTGGAAAGATACACATTGTATTCACAAAATAATCCGCTTTTGGCTTCTTTTAATTATACTTTGACACTTTTCACGTACTTTTTCTTAAATAAAATCAAAAGAAGTTCTGGTGTAGGGAAAAAAATTATTAAATTAAATACAAATAGAAAAAGCTAACGTAACAAACTACACATACATTTACATTACAAAACTCAGTCTTTAATTACCACAAATACTAAAAAAAAAAAGAATTAATACAAAATAACTGCGAAAAAATTACTTCTTTTCTTCTTCTTCCTTCTTCTCCATCGCCTTGTTAGGTTGCCCCGTCTGGATAACCGGAACGCTCCTTCCCTCCTCCACAGCAGCCTTAACCCTTGGCGCCGTTATCGTGAGCACCCCGTCCGTCGACAACTTCGACTCGATTTTATCCGCGTCGTGGTCCTCGGGCAAAACGTACTTCCTCACGAAATGCCGCGAAATAAACCCGTGCTCGTCTTCCTTCTCCTCGTGTTTGCCTTCCACCGTGACGACGTTTTTGGCCACCTTCACGCTGATTTCCTCCGGCTTGAACTGCTGCACGTCCAGATTCACCTGGAATTTGTCCTTGTCGCGGCAGACGGTCGATCCGGAATCCCTTTGGGAAGCGGCAGAACGCCAAGGTCTCAGATATCCAGCAGGACAACGCATGAGGTGGCGGAGTTCGCGAGGAATCAGCGGCGCGATGAAATCCTCCGGGTCCAGACCCAAGCCGAAATGTTGATCCAGCATTCTGGTCGGGCGGGAGTGTTCGAAGGGGTCGTTCAACAGAATTATGGACATTTTCGATGGTTTAGCACTGATTTGTACGTTGTGGTTTTTTTGAAGTTGGCACTTTGTGCTGTATCGACCAATTGAATGGCAGGACTGAAGTCGGGTTTGATCGGCGGCTGGTTTTATAGGGAGAAGCGTTTCGAGAATGTTCGGAAATTAGCGCGAAGGATGAATCTAGAATATTGGAGAAGGTCAGGAATGTTTGGGTTGCGTGGCGATGAATCGGTTCATAGAATGTTCTCTCTAGAACATTCGGGAAGTCGCTCTTACGTGATGTTTTCTTTTTTAATTTAACAAATAGTTTTTCGTTTAAAATAAAGCTCTTATCTAGTGATTAAAGAAAAAATAAACACGAAATTACTTTTATAATGTCAATATTAACCCGGGGATATGTGAATAAAATTGTTGGAAGTTTGTAAAATTATAACAAAATGTTTTCAGTTTTTCTCTTTCTCCTATTTATTTTTTTGTGTTTAAGGATTTGCTTAACTTATGTAAATAATTCAACAGGAAATACATTTCAATTTGTTCTTAAAACCTCTGCATAAATTAATTTGTCCTGAATTTTTATAAAATTACATTACAAAATGAATTAAAAAAGTTTCAGGAATCTAAAATTTGTTCCATGTACATTTTACAACTGCAAAATGTGTTTTAAATTAAAGAAATCAGGATTTGGTATTACATTTTTACCAGAAAAAAATGACTAATCGAGCTACTTTTTTAAATTTAAATTTATTTATAAATACACAAGAGCAACAACACGTTTTACTATAAAGGAATATCTAATACCTATAATACTGTAATTATTTTATACAGTATGTCCCCGAATTGAGTTCACAAGAGGAAAAAACTTTATTTTCTATTTTACAAAAAAATGACAAAGGAATAATATTTTTTGCTTAATTCAAAATAAATAAATCTATAATTAGAACTTTAATATTATTATCAGGCTGTGTTCTTAAAATCGAAAAAACCCAAAAGTAGCGTAGGACTTTTTTATTTTTAATTTTACAAAAAAATGTCAGTGGAATAAAAATTGTTCCTTAATTCAAACCAATTTCTACTATTCGATTAACCCACCACCCCTTTCAGCACGTAGTTCCATTCTAACCCGTAATTCTTTCCTCTTGTGAAAATTTTTATAATATTCACAGTTTGATAATGTATCATTATAGGTGCATAAGATACGACCAACTTTGGCGCATGATGTACCCTGTAAGAAAATAGAAGGTGGGTGGGCGGGGCTAGTATTTGCTAAGATAAGACTGAACAATATTAAAAGTAGTTACTAGAATGAAAAAGGGGTGGCAGCCGGGCAACTGCTTGCTTATAAGACACTGTGAAAAAAAAATAAACTGAGCTTCACCCACCCACCCACCCCTATTCCACTTTGATTGCTCATTTTATTGGCTCTGAGATGGAGTTTGGAATGATAATGCTTGCTTATAAAAGATTCTGTTGGAAAAATCAATATTAGCCCCGCCCACCCACCCATTGTCTATTTTTTTTCTTCTGAAATAAGAAATAAATATTATAACAAATAGTAAATATATCAAAAAAATCACGTTTAGCGCTTTTTTTTTCTTTTTTTAACATCCTAAGTCCTATTAATTCCCATGCCCAATCTACAGAATTATTAATATAATATATTTAACCTCGCCCGCCCACCCTTCCTTCTTTTCAGTAATTGATTATCTGGTTGAATCTGGTGGATCTTATACTAAATAGAAATAAAATCGTTAGAATGAGAAGAGCGCGGGTGGGTGGAGCTAGTACCTGCTACGACAAGAGTGATTTTGGCAGATGACATATCGTCTGAGAAAATAATGGGCGGGTGGGTGGGGCTAATACTTGCTAAGATAAGAGTGATTTTGGCAGATGACATACCATCTGGAAAAATAATGGGCGGGTGGGCGGGGCTAGTATTTGCTAAGATAAGACTGAACAATATTATGAGTAGTCACTAGAATGAAGAAAGGGAGGGAGCTGGGCAACTGCTTCCTTATAAGACGCTTTGAAAAAAAATTGGTCTAAAGAGTTTAGACAGTACTTCCCTCGCTGTCGGAAACGTGACGACTGCATGCCTATTATGTTTTTTTTTTCGCAGTGGATTTCAAAGAATTCGGTTTTGTAGTTCCTGATTAAATCAATAAAATATATTTACGCATTCATTAATTTTTTTGAGTCACTCTGTATATGCAAATCCAAAAAATATAAATGGAGTGATAAATGACAAGTACAGACTCATCATATTTTGTACATTTTAGATATGATTTATTCGGCAAACTTTCGAGCTGACGTCATCAAGTTTTTGGAGGGGATAAGCAAATATATTTTGACTAGACATTTATTATGCTCTTTATGACCTTAAAACATCTGCAAGATTTCAGAGCATTCGGTTTTGTAGTTCCTGATTAAATCAATAAAATATATTTACGCATTCATTAATTTTTTTGAGTCACCCTGTATATGCAAATCCAAAAAATATGAATGGAGTGATAAATTACAAGTACAGACTCATCATATTTTTACAGTTTAGATAGGATTTATTCGGCAAACTTTCGAGCTGACGTCATCAATTTTTTGGAGGGGATAAGCAAATATATTTTGACTAAACATTTATTATGCTCTTTAGAACCTTAAAACATCTGCAAGATTTCAAAGCATTCGGTTTTGTAGTTTCTGAGTAAATCAGTAAAATAAATTTACGCATTCATTAATTTTTTTGAGTCACCCTGTATATGCAAATCCAAAAAATATGAATGGAGTGATAGATCACAAGTACAGACTCATCATATTTTGTACATTTTAGATATGATTTATTCCACAAACTTTTGAGCTGACGTCATCAAGTTTTTGGAGGGGATAAGCAAATATTTTTTGACTAAAGATTTATGATGCTCTTTATAGCCTTAAAACATCTGCAACATTTCAAAGCATTCTGGTTAGCAGATTAAAAATTAAATTTCAAAATGTTGTTTTATAATTTTGATTTTTTTTCCAAAAATCTGGACGTTTCGGGTGAAAAGTCGATTCGGAGTTGTAAACTACATGTGTAGGACTATGTTATTTTATACAATTGAAAACCCATTTACTATGTACAATTTTGAAGTGACGTCATCGCATTAGTGGTGGGGATGATTAGACAAATTTTGGTTAGCGTTTTACCATCTACATGATATTCTTAATATAAGTACAAAATTTCACAACAATCGGTCGAGTACTTTCGGAGATTATCTGTCTAATAAAAATCCGGGACAACAGACGGACAGACGGACGGACAGACGGACAGACGGACAGACGGACGGACAGACGGACAGACGGACAGACGGACGGACAGACGGACAGACGGACAGACGGACAGACAGACGGAAATGGGAGACCTATTTCTTCGTCTTCTAGGGGTCATGAAAGATCGAGAAAACGTAAAAGTAGAGAGTCGGCCGACGGACTCGATTACAATACTTCCTTTGCTTACGCTCGGGAACTAAAAAGTAAACTGAGCTCCACCCACCCACCCCTATTCCGCTTTGATCCTTCATTTTATTGGCTCTGAAACCGAGTTTGGAATATTAGTGCTTGCTTATAAAAGATTCTGTAGGAAAAATTAATATTAGCCCCGCCCACCCACCCACTTTTTATTTTTATCTTCTGAAATAAGAAATAAATCTGATAGCAAATAATAAATGTAATAAAAATTACGATTAACGTTTTTTACTTCCCGAGCGTAAGCAAAGGAAGTATTGTAATCGAGTCCGTCGGCCGACTCTCTACTTTTACGTTTTCTCGATCTTTCATGACCCCTAGAAGACGAAGAAATAGGTCTCCCATTTCCGTCTGTCTGTCCGTCTGTCCGTCTGTCCGTCTGTCCGTCTGTCCGTCTGTCCGTCCGTCTGTCCGTCTGTCCGTCTGTCCGTCCGTCTGTCCGTCTGTTGTCCCGGATTTTTATTAGACAGATAATCTCCGAAAGTACTCGACCGATTGTTGTGAAATTTTGTACTTATATTAAGAATATCATGTAGATGGTAAAACGCTAACCAAAATTTGTCGAATCATCCCCATCACTAAAGCGATGACGTCACTTCAAAATTGTACATAGTAAATGGGTTTTCAATTGTATAAAATAACATAGTCCTACACATGTAGTTTACAACTCTGAATCGACTTTTCACCCGAAAGGTCCAGATTTTTGGAAAAAAAATCAAAATTATAAAACAACATTTTGAAATTTAATTTTTAATCTGCTAACCAGAATGCTTTGAAATGTTGCAGATGTTTTAAGGCTATAAAGAGCATCATAAATCTTTAGTCAAAAAATATTTGCTTATCCCCTCCAAAAACTTGATGACGTCAGCTCAAAAGTTTGTGGAATAAATCATATCTAAAATGTACAAAATATGATGAGCCTGTACTTGTCATTTATCACTCCATTCATATTTTTTGGGTTTGCATATACAGAGTGACTCAAAAAAATTAATGAATGCGCAAATATATTTTATTGATTTAATCAGGAACTACAAAACGGAATGCTCTGACATCTTGCAGATGTTTTAAGGTTATAAAGAGCATAATAAATGTTTAGTCAAAATATATTTGCTTATCCCCTCCAAAAACTTGATGACGTCAGCTCGAAAGTTTGCCGAATAAATCATATCTAAAATGTACAAAATATGATGAGCCTGTACTTGTCATTTATCACTCCATTCATATTTTTTGGATTTGCATATACAGAGTGACTCAAAAAAATTAATGAATGCGTAAATTTATTTTATTGATTTAATCAGGAACTACAAAACCGAATGCTTTGAAATCTTGCAGATGTTTTAAGGTTATAAAGAGCATAATAAATTTTTAGTCAAAATATATTTGGTTATCTTCTACAAAAAACTGATGACGTCAGCTCAAAAGTTTGCCGAATAAATCGTATCTAAAATGTACAAAATATGATGAGTCTGTACTTGTGATTTATCATTCCATTCATATTTTTGGATTTGCATATGCAGGGTGACTCAAAAAAATTAATGAAGGCGTGAATTTATTTTATCGATTTAATCAGGAATTACAAAACCGAATGCTTTGAAATCTTGGGAATATTCTAAAGTTATTATAAGCATGGTAAACTTTTGTTCAAAATGTATTTGTTCATCCCTCCTAAAAAAATTGATGACGTCACCCTTAAATTTTGCTGAATAAATCCTATCTAAAATGCAAAAAATATGATGAGTTTGTACTTGTGATTTATCATTCCATTCATATTTTTTAGATTTTCTTAAGAGGTGGTTCAAAAAAATTAATGAAGTCAATTTATTTTATTGATTAAATTAAAGGCAACACTTATTATTAGTACTACACCCCAACCAACCCAATTTGGTAGACAAAAAATTTGTTAAAGGAAAAACTCGGTTGAAACATAAGGGTAGCATGCTTATTTACATCGACTTTAACATTACAGACCTGCATTTGTTTTATGCGTTCACTTGGTTCCGCGAATGTGAAATAGACATGTTTATAATCAACCAATTGTGAATTTCACCGTCAAGAATTAAAATAAAACCCAATGTTTTATATAATAAGCGGAAGTCGAAGCAATAAAACCGATGGTCGTTTTGTTTACAGTTTCTCTGTTTGACTCTCAAGTATGCTGTTACGCCTGTCATCTTAAATTAAGAATGTTTATACATACACGATTTTCAGCTGCCTGGGATACGTATACGTGAGTAAATTGTTTCGTTATTTTATTGATTATTACAAATCAATATTCAAAACGACCCAATTCATTTTCCCGAAAATTTGAGAATATAATAATTTTATTCTTAGTATTACACTACATCTATCCCAAACTGATATACGTGTCCTTGCAAAAATGTTGATGACGTCATCGCAATTTTTTTTTTAAATTCCCACTACAAAAATGTAATGAGAAAAAACACAATAGGCATGCAGTCGTCAAGTTTCCGACAGCGAGGGAAGTACTGTCTAAACTCTTTAGACCAATTTTTTTCTTTCCTGTTGGAGACTAAGTTCTATTAGTTCCCATTCCCCTTCTACAGAAGAACACATAATTAACCCCGCCCACCCTCCCCGCCGCCATTTCAGGGATTCATTTTATTTGGCCAGAATGAAACGTGGAACTTAAACTGAACAGAAATTACATCGTTATAATGAAAACAGCGCGGGTGGGCGGGGCTAGTACTTGTTAAGATGCGAAGATAAGACAAATTTTGGCAAATGGCATATCTTCCAAGAAAACAGAGGGCGGGTGGGCGGGGCTTAATTTCCGTTAAAATAAGACTGATTTTGGGAAATGATATAGCTCTATGAAAATAGAGAGCGAGTTAGTATTGGCTAACCTAAAACTGAAAATAGGAGGTGGGAGGGATTAAATTTGGCTTGTTCCTACAGTCTTATAAATAAGAAGTAGTCCCGCCCATCCATCCCCTCTTAATTCTTGAAACTACTCCTAATATTGTTCAGTCCGCCCTCTAGTTTCTTAGGGGGGTATATATATCATTTGCCAAAAAATTTTGTCTTAGCAAGAACTAGCCCCGCCCACCCGCCCATTATTTTTTCAGAAGGTATATCATTTGCCAAAATCACTCTTATCTTAGCAGGTACTAGCTCCGCCCACCCGCGATGTTCTCATTCGAAAGATTGTTATTGATATTCAGTATAAGATCCACCTTTCGTTCAACCAGATGAACGGAATTACTGAAATGGAAGAGGGGTGGGTGGGCGGGTTTTAATATATTATAGGGGAGTATTAATAATTCTGTAGAGTGGAAATGGGAATTAATAGCACCTAGGGATAAAAAAAGCGGTAACCGTAATTTTTTTGTTATATTTACTATTTGCAATAAGATTTATTTCAGAAGACAAATATATAAAATGGGTGGGTGGGCGGGGCTAAAATTAATTTTTCCTACAGAATCTTTTATAAGCAACCACTAGCATTCCAAACTCCGTCTCATAGCCATAGCTTCAAAAACTCTAAGGACTCAAACGTTAAAAAGGTTTTCAAAATTCTTTCCAACTACTTCAAAGATTCTATAATTTGTAAAAAACGCATGAACTCTTAACATGACAAAAATTTTAGAGATTCCAAAGACTCTAAACAAAATAAAAATTCTAAAAATATAAAAATCGTACACCCCAGTTATTCTTATCTTACACAATTCTAAAGATTCCAGAGATTCGAAGAATTTGAAAGATTTAAAGACTCTTGGGGTCTATTAATTTTAGAAAATTTGGAAATACTTAAGTATCTAGAAAGTGTGAAAAATCTGGAAGACCTAGAAATCTTGAAAACTGAGGAAAATGTCGAACTCTGGCATATCACAAGACTGATATTTTCTGGATATTTCAAAAATTTAATCAATTCTAAACATTTTACTAAATTTGTGAAAATGTTCCAAATAATGTGAAAGTTTAGTCTTCTTTAAATTTAAAAATTTCGGGAATTCCAAGGGTGCCAAAACTCCAAGGAGTCTATTAATACTAAATTGATATATGTGCCCTTGCTAAAATGTTAATGACGTTATCAAAAAAAAATATATATATGGAAAAATTGACTATAAAGATGAAAAAAAATCTCAAATTTAAAGTTGATAACAATTTTCCGAAGTTGTATTTGTTCGACTGTACTTTAGGAGCCAGGGAAGTTCTGTCGAAATAACTTACAACCAATTTTTTGTGTCTATTTTGTTCTAAAATCTAAATCTTCTATACCCCCAAGCACATTATATTATTTGCCAAAATCAGTCTTGTCTTAAGAAATACGAGCCCCGCCCACCCGCCCTTTATTTTCTTAGTAGGTATGTCATTTGCCAAAATCACTCATATCTTAAGAAGTACACCCGCCCTCGATTTTCGTGGAAGGTATTTCATTGGCCAAAATCAGTCTTATCTTATTACATTGGAAAAAAATAGACAGAACAAAAATAGGTCACTTAGGTAAATAGGCAAAAACAAGTAAAGCTCAAATAAAAGAATTTTCTCAGATATACATTTATACAGGGTCGCTAAAAAACAATAAAATTCGCAAAATCAAATATTTTAGTTTTTCGAACGAACTGGATTTGATAAGCTGTACTTTATGGGAAAGGGAAGTTCTGTCAAAGTAATCTTCGATCATTTTTTTGTATTATTTTATGGTGACAATCCTTTCTTAGATATTTTCTCTGCAATATTTGCTGAAGGTAAAATTATTTTTATTATTATTATTATTATTATCAAGAAGGGGTGGGTGAACAGGGCTACTGCTTGCTTATAAGACTCTGCAGAAAAACTTACCCCCCCCCCCCCATCTACTTTCTCCATATCACTGACTTGTTTTATTTACTGTGAAATAGGAATTGAATTCTATTTATTTATTTATTCAATAGTTTCTACCGTCTTATAAATAAGTTGTCATTCTTAAAACTATTCCTTATATTGATCAGTTTTAGCTTAGCAAATACTAACACTGCCCGTTCGCTCTCTATTTTCATAGAACTATCATTTCCCAAAATCAGTCTTATTTTAACGAAAATTAAGCCCCGCCCACCCACCCTTGAATTTGTTAGAAAGTATGTGATTTGCCAAAATCAATCGTATTTTAACAAGCCCCGCCCACCCGCGCTGTTCACATTATAACGATGTAATTTCTGTTCAGTATAAGTTCCAAGTTTCATTCTGCAAATAAAATGAATCACTGAAATGGCGGCGGGGTGGGTGGGCGGGGCTAACTATGTGTTCTCCTGTCGAGGGGGAATGGAAACTAATAGAACCTAGTCTCTAACAGGAAAGAAAAAAATTGGTCCAAGGTTATTTCGACAGAACTACACTCACCTCTGAAATATAATAAAACAAACCCAGCTTTTTCGAAAAAATTATTTTTGTTGTGAGAACCCTTATAGATTTAAAATAAAGATTATATATGCAACCAACAATATAATCAAATTAAAAAAAAAAAATAACAAATATTCACACTTGGTTGACTTTTGTTTAAAAATATCCTGAACGGTTTATATATAGGTATATCATTAACATACTTACATAAAAAAAAAGTAAAAAGATGATTTATTTTGTACATAGATATACATATTTGTATAAATAAAATGACGAGGCAAAATTTTATTTATTAAATATAGTTATGCAGCCAACAATACACATCAATTTTTTCCTGTAAAAGGAAAACTTCACAACTAATTTTTGTTGTCAACAATTTTCTAATTTTTTTTCTTACTCTCAACAAGTTTTTCTTTTAAATCATAAATTCATGTAAACCAACTACGGGTAGAAAAAACCGGAAAAATGTTTTTAGAATATTTAGAAAATCGAAATTTTTCGTTTTATTTTGTCGATATTAGGTAAATATGACCAAATAAATTGAATTTCTTGGCAGTTTCAAAGTACGAAGTTGTTTTTAGGATAAAAATTAACAATAAAATTTGAAAAATCATTCATCCCGACTTCGCGAATGTTCTAGATGGAGAGAGAACATTCAATGAACTGACTCATCGCCACGTACTTAATCCAACGTAAGGATCCCTGACCTTCCCCAATATTCTAGATTCATTCTCCGCGATAATTTCCGAACAATCTCGAACTTTTGTTTCGTATAAAACCAGCAACCGAACATTTCAAATTCAGTTCATCCAACAAGCTTAAAGTGTGTAGTTCGAGCCGACCAAAGAGCGCAAACTCGTGCTTATCGTAACGACAAATCAAATCCAGAAATCAAAATGTCAACAATTCTACTGAGTGACCCCTTCGAGCATGTCCGCCCGGATCAACATTCCGGTTTGGGTCTGGACCCGGAGGATTTCTTCGTGCCGCTGATTGCTCACGGACTCCGCCAGCTGATGGGTTGTCCTGCGGGATATCAGAGACCTTGCCAAAAGGATTCCGGATCGACCGTCTGCCGCGACAAGGACAAATTCCAGGTGAATCTGGACGTGCAGCAGTTCAAGCCGGAAGAAATCAGCGTGAAGGTGGCCAAAAACGTCGTCACGGTGGAGGGAAAACACGAGGAGAAGGAAGACGAGCACGGGTTGATTTCGCGGCATTTCGTGAGGAAGTACGTTTTGCCCGAGGGCCACGACGTGGATAAAATCGAGTCGAAGTTGTCGACGGACGGGGTGCTCACGATAACAGCGCCCAGGGTTAAGGCTGCTGTGGAGGAAGGAAGGAGTGTTCCGGTTATCCAGACGGGGCAGTCAACCAAGGAGGTGGAGAAGAAGGAAGAAGAAGAAGGAGAAGAACAGAAATAGGAGTAATTGTTTTTGATAGCGACTATAATTTATTTAATTTACATTAGTTTTCTATGGTAGTTATGGTAACTGTTAGTACTTACAAGACTGAGTATTGTCATGTATGTGTAGTTAATCCACAGTAGCCCTTTGTTGTATTTAATTTCATAAAGTTTTTTCACTGTAAGTGGTTCTATTTTTTTATATAAAATATATATATATATTAGGGTGATTCAAAAAAAAAAATAATTTTTTTTTTCGTGTCAAAGAGGTTCAAAAGTTTCTTTTCAACGTAAAAAAATACCAGTTAAAAGTTGAGCTCTTAATATTAATATTAAGACCGTCCGCATCGCGTTTTTCTATTTCCCATAAGAATAACATGGGAAAATTTTTGTTTGCACCTTCTGATTTTTATTGCTAGCCCGTCGTGTGTCGTGAAAAAAATTCAATCACATATTTTTATAGAGAATTGAACGCTCTACAAAAAGTGTCTCCTATGATTGTGCGAGAAACCTGATAGTTGAAGAGTTATTTTAGGCTAAAGTTAAATTTATCCAAATTTTGACGTTTTTGATGCATTACAATAAATTTGATGGTCTTATTGGAATAAATCACCACAAAAATTTATACACATTTTAAATTTAGTTTTTTAAACAGTAATTGTTTATAATTTTATGCTATAATAAGGCCAGTAAAACTCTTTCCGAACATTTTCAGCATCAGTGGGTTAAAAAATCATAGTCAGGTTTCTCGCAAAATCTTAGGAGACACTTTTTGTAGAGCGTTCAATTCTCTATAAAAATATGTGATTGAATTTTTTTCACGACACACGACGGGCTAGCAATAAAAATCAGAAGGTGCAAACAAAAATTTTCCCATGTTATTCTTATGGGAAATAGAAAAACGCGATGCGGACGGTCTTAATATTAATATTAAGAGCTCAACTTTTAACTGGTATTTTTTTACGTTGAAAAGAAACTTTTGAACCTCTTTGCACGAAAAAAAAAAATTATTTTTTTTTTTTGAATCACCCTAATATATATATATGTGGTTTTATTAAAAGCTGTGTTTCTGATTTCTTTATTTTCCCAAAAATTTGAAAGGGAATTGAATAACAATTTCATAAACTGCTGAACACGAACTTCAAGAACTATACCTTAATTTAATTAAACAAAAATAAAGTATTACTCCCTAACCCTAAACACGCTATATTTTTGGAATTAGCACGTCAAGATTTATAACCCTGAATTTTTTGATAATTTTTAGACGACTTTTTCAAAAATGAAATTTTCCACCATGTTCCCTTACGCAGATTTGGATCCATTTTCGACGATTTTCGTAATTTAACTAAATCCAGAAAACATTGAAAAATGGAAACTTCTAAAATCGTAAAATTGAAAAAATTAAAAATTTTTTAAATTATAATTATTAGATGTATATTTAAAATGAAAACTAGAAACATTGCAGATCAAAAATTGAAAAAACGAACAATTCAAAAATCGAGAAGTTGAAAAATCTAAAACTGAAAAAATACAAACAATACAAATTTTCACATTGAAAAAAAAAGAAAAATTTTAAAATCAATACACTGAAAAACCGAAATATCGAAAAAATAAAGAGAACAAAAACCGAAACGAAAAATTGCAAATCGAAAATTTGAAGAAATGAAAAATTGATAAAATCTAAAAATTGAAAGATCCAAAAATTGAAAAACCGAAAAATTGAAAAATTCGAAAATGCAAACTTGTGGAGTTGCATACCGTAAAATTGCAGAAACAAAAAAAAAAAAAATTGCAAATGGAAAAATTTAAGCAAGGAAAACTGAAAATGCAAAAACAAAAAATTATAAAATTGGAAGATTGAAAAACGAATAATTGAAAATATAAAGAAAATAAAAACTGGAACGAAAACGAAAAATTGCAAATCTAATAATTGAAAATTGAGCAATCGCAAAATGAAGAATTCGAGAAATCGAAAATACTTATGAACAATCGAGAAAATGAAGAAGTCACTTCCGGTCTCATTTCTTCGATAACTCCAACCATTTTTCCAGAATCGCCCATTGAAGCATCCAATTTTTAAAAACTCCAAAAAGTTCGAATTTCACTCTGAATATTTCGAAAATATTACTCCGTGACACTAAACTCCTTATATTTTTGGAATCAGCACGTCAAGATCTATAACCGTGAATTTTTTGAGATTTTTTTAACGACTTCAAACTTTTCATTATGTATTAAAAATCGAAAACTAAAGATCGGAAAAAAAGAAAAACCTGAAAAAATGAAAAATTGCAAATCGAAGATCTGAAGAAACGAAAACTTTAAACATTGAAAAACTAAAAATCGAGAAATTTAAAATTCGAAAATAATAATTAATAATTCGAAAAATTCGAAAAAAACGAATCGAATCGAAAAACTGGAAAATCCAAAATATTAAAAATTGAAAAATTATAAAATCAAGTAAATGAAAAAGTTTAAAAGTCCAGTAATTGAAAAATGGTAATTTCTAAAATGGTAAAATTGAAAAAATGAAATTTTTTTAACTTACAGTTATTATTAGATACATATTTAAAATGAAAATTAGAAACATTGCAGATCAAACATTGAAGAAACGAAAAATTCAAAAATCGAAGAGCCGAAAAATCTAAAATTGAAAAATTAAAAAACCTAAAAGTTGAAAAATCGAAAACCCAAAAATTGCTGATCGAAAAATTGTAAATCCAAATAATAAAAATTTTCACTTAAAAAAAAAGAAAAATTTTAAAATCAACACTGAAAAACCGAAAAAGTGCAAATTGAAAATTTGAGGAAATGAAAAATTAATAAATCTAAAAATCGAAAAATTAACAACTGAAAACTAGCGATATTACAAATCAAAAAATTTACGAAATCTAAAAACTGAAAGATCCAAAAACTGGAAAACTGAAAAATTGAAAATTCAAAAATGAAAACTCGCAGAGTTGCATACTGTAAAATTGTAGAAATAAAAAAAATGATAAATTGCGAATGAAACAATTTAAGCCAGAAAAACTGAAAAATCGAAAAACTGTAAAAATAAAGAAAAGAAAAAACCAAAACGCTAAATTGCAATTAAAAATTTGAAGAAATTAAAAAGTAAAGAATCGAAAAATTGAAAAATGAATATTCGAGAAGTTTTAATGAGAAATCCATAAATTAAAGAAACAATAAAATGAAAAACTGAAAAATTGCAAAGCAAAAAATTGAAGAAGAGAAAATTTAAAGAAATTAAAATTGAAGAAACAAAAAATTATAAAATCGGAACATTGAAAAACGAATAATTGAAAATATAAAGAACATAAAAAAATGCTAATCGAAGAACTCAAGAAACGAAAAATTGGAAAAAAAACCGAATTGAATCGAAAAACTGGAAAATCCAAAATATTAAAAATCGAATGAATGAAAAAGTTTAAACGTCCAGTAACTGAAAAATGGGAATTTCTAAAATAGTAAAATTGAAAAAATTAAAAAAATTTTAAATTATAATAATTATTAGATATATATTTAACATGAAAACTGGCAACATTGCAGATCAAAAACTGAAGAAACGAAAAATCCAAAAAACCAGAAGCTGAAAAATCCAAAATTGAAAAAAAAAGAAAAATTAAAAACCTAAAAGTTGAAAAATCGTAAAACTGAAAACCCAAAAATTGCTAATCGAAACATTGAAAAAAAGAAAAATTTTGAAATCAGTACACTGATAAACCGAAAAATCGAAAAAATAAGGAAAACAAAAAGCGAAACGAAAAATTGCAAATCGAAAATTTGAAGAAATGAAAAATTGATAAATCTAAAAATCGAAAAATTAACAACTGAAAACTCGCGATATTACAAATCGGAAAATTGCGAAATATAGAAATTGAAAGATACGAAAACTGGAAAACTGAAAAACGGAAAAAATTCAAAAATAAAAATTTGCAAAATCGTCGAAACAAAAGAATGATAAATTGCAAATGAAAAAATTTAAACAAGAAAAACTGAAAAATCGCAAAAATTATAAAAATAAAGAAAACAAAATGCAAATCGCAAAATTGGAAATTAAAAAGTAAAGAATCGAAAAATTGAAAATTCGAGAAGTTTTAATGCGAAATCCATAAATTGAAGAAACAATAAAATGAAAAACTGAAAAATTGCAAAGCGAAAAATTAAAGAAGCGAAAATTTAAAGAAATTAAACTTGAAGAAACAAAAAATTATAAAATCTGAACATCAGTTTTTCCAGAACCGCCCATTGAAACATCGCAATTCTTAAAAATTTAAAAAAAATCGAAAATATTACTCCTTGACCCTAAACTCCCTATATTTTTGGAATCAGCACGCCAAGATCTATAACCGTGAATTTTTTGAGAATTTTTAAACGACTTTGTCAAAATGAAAATTTTCGCCATGAAAACTAAAAAATCGGAAGAAAGACAAATTTAAAAATTGAAAAAATGAAAAATTGCAAATCGAAGAACTGAAGAAATGAAAAATTGAAACACTGAAATACTAAAAATCGAGTAATTTAAAACTCGAAAATAATTAATATTTCGAAAAATTGGAAAGAAGAAAAAAACGAAAACTGGAAAATCCAAAAAATTAAAAATCGAATAAACAAAAAAGTTTAAAAGTCCAGTAACTGAAAAATGGAAACTTCTCAAATCGTAAAATTGAAAAAATGAAAAATTAAAAAATCGTGTAACTGAAAACCCAAAAATTGCTGACTGAAAAATTGTAAAATCCAAACAATAAAAATTTTCCCATTAAAAAAAGAAAGATTTTAAAATCAGTACACTGAAAAACCGAAAAAACAAAGAAAACAAAAACCGAAACGAAAAATTGCAAATCGAAAATTTGAAAAAAATGAAAAATTAAAAACTGAAAAGTCGCGATATTACAATGAAAAAATGAAAATTTGGGAAGTTTTAATTCGAAAAATTTGCGAAATCTATAAATTGAAGAAACAATAAAATGAAAAACTGAAAAATCGCAAAGCGAAAAATTGAAGAAACGAAAATTAAGAAATTAAAATTGAGGAAACAAAAAATTATAAAATCGGAACATTAAAATAAGTAATTAGTAATTTAAAATTCGAAAATAATTAATAATTCGAAAAAATGGAAAGAAAAAACCAAAACTGGAAAAACCAAAAAATTAAAAATCGAATAAACAAAAAAGTTTAAAAGTCCAGT